GTGTCCTGGGCTACTGGAAACGTCAGTGACATAGGAGATGTGTCCTGGGCTACTGGAAACGTCAGTGACATAGAAGATGTGTCCTGGGGTACTGGAAACGTCAGTGACATAGGAGATGTGTCCTGGGGTACTGGAAACGTCAGTGACATAGAAGATGTGTCCTGGGGTACTGGAAACGTCAGTGACATAGGAGATGTGTCCTGGGGTACTGGAAACGTCAGTGACATAGGAGTTGTGTCCTGGGGTACTGGAAACGTCAGTGACATAGGAGTTGTGTCCTGGGGTACTGGAAACGTCAGTGACATAGAAGATGTGTCCTGGGGTACTGGAAACGTCAGTGACATAGGAGATGTATACTGGGCTACTGGAAACGTCAGTGACATAGGAGTTGTGTCCTGGGCTACTACAGCCTTCAGTGGCATAGGAGACGTGTCCTGGGGTACTTGAAACTTCAGTGACATAGGAGATGTGTACTGGGCTACAAAAGACTTCAGTGAGATAGGAGACATGACATTGTCTACTGGAAACTTCAGTGGCATAAGAGAGGAGTCCTAGGCTACTGGAAACGTCAGTGACATAGGAGACATCTCCTGGGCTACTGGAAACTTCAGTGACATAAGAAACGTGTCCTGGACTACTAAAAGCTCAAGTGACATAAGAGACATGATCTGGGCTACTGAAGGCTCCAGTAACATAGGAGGCCTTTTCTGCGCTACTGAAAGGCTTCAATTACATAGGAGACACATCTTGGGTTACTTGTGGCGTCAGTGGCATACTGTACTAGTTGTGTCTTGGGCAACTCATAGCTGCAGAGACAAAAGAGACGTGTCCTGGGCTATGGAAGTCTTCAGTGACATGGGAGAAATGTCCTGGGCTATTAAAGGCTTCAGTGACCTAGGAGACGAGTCCTGTTCTACTGGAAATTTCAGTGACATAAGAAACGTGTCCTGAACTAAAGGGGTACTAAAGGCTTCAGTGACATAGGAGACATGTCCTTGACTACTGGAGACTTCAGTGACATAGAAAACATGTTCTGGCCTACTGAAGGCCTCAGTGACATAGGAGACACATCTTGGGTTACTTGTAGCTTCACTGGCATACTGAAATATGCAGACTTCAGACATAGGAGATGTGTCCTGGGTTACTCACAGCTTCATTGATATAGAAAATGTGTCATGGGCTACTAACAGTATAAATGACATAGGTGAGGTATCCTGGGCTACTGGAGGCTTCATTGATCTAAGACAAGTGTCCTGAGCTATTGACAATTTCAGTTCCCAACAATACATCAGGTCACATGTCATCAACATGGGCAAGACAAGGACCACTTCCTAACAACCCTGGCTCCATATTTATGGGGGTCTGTGGAGTGGAAGGACTTGCTAGAGACTGAAAGCCCCTTTTAATGTAAACAAAGGGGCAGGGAGCTGGCTGAGATCATTGGCCAAATATTGTGATGACCATATCTGATCAATGACTTCACCCGGGATGCCTTGTTTCCAAGCCAGCAGGACGTAGGATAATGATTGCTAGGACGTCGGTGGCCACTTGCATCCAGCAACCTGTGACACAATGTATGCTATCGTTCTCTGGAAAGCTTGTAAAGATGAAACTCGATGAGAAAAAGGTTGCTGACCCCCCTGTACTTCACCAGTACTGAACTTTGGGGAATTGTATACTAGACGAAGACAATTTAGGAAGTGAAACGTGTGTTGCTTTAAACAGATGTTCTCCGAAGGTTCTGCTCTCACTTCTTGTGTTGTTTTGCAATGTAAATTCATAAAGACTTCCAGCTGAGAGCTTCTTGTATCACAGAAAATGAAATCACGAATAGTCGAAGGTTTGAGGGAATTCATGCTTTAGTCTCTAGGGTGTAACGGGGTTCGCTTGGCAGCGGGTGTGTGTGACCCCCTGGATGGGTGCACAACACAAAAAACAGGCACAGCACAACAGTAGAGATGAAAAAACAAAAAGGTGCAGTTTATTTACAATATTTACAGGAAAACGGCAAACCAAAAAGAAACATCAAATCAAATCCTGGCCAACTTGGCTACTTACTGTACAAATCACTTCCCTAGCTATCCACCAGGTACAGCCTGATGCTATACCTAGTCCCTGGTAGTCGGAGGCTAGCCACACAGGCTTTTGTCTCCCTGCACTCAGGTAGGCTGGTGCTCCCCAGACAGTTCAGCCACAGATCTGGTTCCAGGTTGGAGCCACTCCCTAAGCATGCTGGGAAGTTTTATACCAGCCTTAATGAGCCGACTACCTTCCGCTGGGCTCATTGCCTCATTGCTGAAGGACTCAGCACTTCCCTCTCGTAGAACAAATCCCCATAAACTGAACCTTGGACAAATGTATCGTCCATCCTGGACACAACCAGGTGATCTCACCTGCCTACTGTCACAAGGGGTAGAGCCAGAAATGGTATTATCGGGGATCTGGAAGGATCAGAAATCATTGGAGTAGAAGACATGAGAAGAAGCTCATTTACTCACATAAAATATAAGTAAAGTTGGGGAGTAGCTACAGAGGATGGGACCCCATAGAAGAAATATGATGGGGCCCTCTTTTGTCCATCCCTTCTGTTTCTCTTCTTAAATAGGGTTGTAGGGGTCAGCAGGTGGAAGGGGTTTATCGGAATATGGAAGCCCCTTTAAAAAAAAAAATGGAACAAGGGGCTTTGCCAAGTGGGTTCTCCTGCTGTGTCAGTGGCATGTGGTCTAGTATGGTTCAAGAGGGGGAAGGCACACACTTGCTCCTCCCCCATCCTGGGCAGCCAGTCTGTATGATCTGATTAAGGCTTCATGTACACGAGCCTACCCTGACCGCCGGCCGTGTGAAACCGCAAATCGCAGCAAAAACAGGGTACCACGGTTGCATTTTGTTGTGGTTTTGCTGCATTTTGTGTTTTCTCATGGTCTGCGGTCAAAATGTTCCTATCCTGAGTGTACAGGAGAGGGAGGTTTAACCTCACCTAAACATGGCAGCTCTTAAGCTGAAAGCCCGTGTGTACATGGACGCATAGGCTTTTAGGGAGTTGAGTGTAGGAGCTGCTCGTGTACATGAAGCCTTAGGATCTGGTGTGGCTTTTAGGGGAGATCCCCATGCAAGAAAAAGAGTGGGGCCCCCTAAAAATCAATACCAGACCATTCATCCAAGTATTCAGCCTAGCAGGGAAGGAAAGGAGGGACAAACATGTGCCCCTGAACCATACCAGGACATGACAGGTGGGCCCTCCTGGGGACGACGGCAGTTGGTCCAAACCTTCGGACCGAACGTTGGCTGTTCAGGCGTTTGAATAAACACCTGAATTATTGTCCATTCATCAGCAGGCAAACATCATATATAAAGACGTATGTTGTACTAATTCTAGAAATGGCCGCTTCCTCCTCTTAGTGTTTCCTAAAGGAAGCAGCAGCTGCTTCCACCAACGTCACGGCAGTAGTAAACCCCCATCCTATACTATTTGTCTCTAGTACACAGATGTCAAACTGGTGGCAGGTACAGTCACAGTCACATACATGTAGTGTAAGCCGTGTACCGGGGGGGGGGCTCCCCAGGATACAGTGAAGTCACGAACGAGGAAAGCAACCCCAACACCAGCTTTTGCCACAACAGAATTTTACTTAGATGTGGCAAATAAACACAACCACAAATGCTGGGAACATACAATAAATTTACATACACCCAGCCCAAAGGCTGAGACCCTTGTGCTGCACAGCACGGCGCCTCCTGATGGATGAAGGTAGAAAGTGAAGTAATTTACCTACTGGGGGGCACAACTAAGCTGCCACACCTTACCTGTTATTACCCCACAGAGCAGGAATCAGTGTATGGGGGTACGGGATGGGCTAGCCTGCGGTGCAGCACAACAGCTTACAATCTTACACAAATCTACAGTATTCCCCCTCCCATAACTGGTCCTGTAGCACGTGCCTGAGTATTCCTTCTGAGCAAAATGCCAGTCTGGGGTGAGTTTGTAGGATTTTATCAGCTCTCCAATGTGAAATGTCACTTTAAGTTGTGGAGTCCTTCCAATAATCAGTAAAAAACACTTGTGGCCTGACACAAACAGGGACCCTAACTAACTAACTATAGGCCTGGCCTCAGTCTCAAGGCTCCAACACCGAAATGAGGTGCGTGCACGATCTTACCAATCCGGGTCTGCTTTGCCTCTGGTGACTCTGAACAGAACAAATGTCTCTCCAACAAGCATGCGGTCTCGTCGTATATGTTACTTAGTTCCTCTGCTCTCATCAGCATTCCTGGCAGAAATCTCATCAGCTTCACTTAGCTGCAGCTCTGGTTACGGAGGGGGGCTCTCACACCTGGATGTCATCAGATTATCAGCTCACATGCCCCCCCCCCCCCATTCACCATTCTCCAGAATATGGCTGCTCTCTCTCCTCTGTGTGAAAACTCCAACTCTTCATGAATATAGAAATCACTATGCAGTCTGAGGCTGTGTTAGAAAAACAGTGACATCTTGTGGCTAAACTGCAGAATGTCAGTCAAAACATTTAATTTACTCCACACAAGCAGTATTCAAACAATGAGAGCTGTTTCCCCATCTCACAGTAGACTGGTTGTTGGGTATGTAGCATGCTGCTCCTGTGACCACTGTGTCTAGTACCCAACATTGGAACCAGGTGCTTTGCCAGGGGGTCCCCTTTTAACCACTTCAAGTCTGGATACTTTCACCTCCTTCCAGTCCAAGCCAATTAGCCTCCTAACATGTCCTTGCAGTGTGCGAGGAAACTGGAGTAACCAGAGGAAAGCAACACAGGCACAACATGCAAACTCCAGACAGGTGGTGCCATGGTTGGGATTCAAACCAACGACCTGAGTACTGCCAGGCAGAAGTGCTGCCGATGACTACTGTAGGTGTTTTTAGCTATTTATATATGTGTTTTATTGAAGTCTCTGGATAGACTTTTTAACCACTGTCTGGACATTTTCACCCCCTTCCAGTCCGGACACTTTCCCCCCCCCTTCCAGTCTGGACACTTTCCCCCCCTTCCAGTCTGGACACTTTCCCCCCCTTCCAGTCTGGACACTTTCCCCCCCTTCCAGTCCGGACACTTTCCCCCCTTCCAGTCCGGACACTTCCCCCCCCTTCCAGTCCGGACACTTTCACCCCCTTCCAGTCCGGACACTTTCACCCCCTTCCAGTCCGGACACTTTCCCCCCCTTCCTGTCCAGACACTTTCCCCCCTTCCACTCCGGACACTTTCACCCACTTCCAGTCCGGACACTTTCACCCCCTTCCAGTACGGACACTTTCACCTCCTTCCAGTCCGGACACTTTCCCCCCCTTCCTGTCCAGACACTTTCCCCCCTTCCAGTCCGGACACTTTCACCCCCTTCCAGTACGGACACTTTCCCCCCCTTCCACTCCGGACACTTTCACCTCCTTCCAGTCCGGACACTTTCCCCCCCTTCCTGTCCAGACACTTTCCCCCCTTCCAGTCCGGACACTTTCCCCCCCTTCCAGTCCGGACACTTTCCCCCCCTTCCAGTCCAGACACTTTCCCCCCCTTCCAGTCCGGACACTTTCCCCCCCTTCCAGTCCGGACACTTTCCCCCCTTCCTATCCAGGCAAATTTTCAGCTTTCAGCGTTATCACACTTTGAATGACAATTGCGCGGTCATGCAACACTGTATCTATATGAATTTTTTAGCATTTTTTTGAGACAGATATAACTTTATTTTGGTGGTATTTATTCACTGCTGGGATTTCTAGTTTTTTGCTATAAAAATGAAAGTCCAAACATTTTGAAAAAAAAAAGTGTTTTTCTTACAAAAGTTTAGCAAATAAATAATCTTTCTTCATAAATCTTGGCCAAAATGTATTCAGCTATCTATTTAGTAAAAAAAAACTCAAATTAGTTTATAAACAAAAATTATAATTTTTCAAAAGGGTTTTTTTTTTACATTTTTATTTAATTTGTTTATATTATTATTTATGGGTTTTTTTCACCATGGTGACACTGTACTACTTGTGGGGGGTGATGAAGATTTTTTTTTTTTTTTTACATAAAGGCTGTAAAATCAATCATTTCTCCTTCTCTCTGGCTGCATTCTTGCAGCCAATGAGAAATACTGTGAGAGCTGTGATTGGTCACAGCTTGTCACATGGTACTAGGCTGTTGTGAATGGCCCTGTACCATGTGATCTCGGTGATCATTCATATATTTCACTAGTAGCAAGCAATGATGTCAGAAGTGACTTCTTGCTTACTACTATTCATGTGATCACTGGTTGGCCAATCAGTGATCACATGATCAGGACCTCACACAGAGGTCCCGTACAGCGATCGGTGCCACGCGGTCCCAGGGAGTGCACACAGGCAGGGAAGCAGGAGGACGTTTATAAACGGCCACCTGCTCCTGCACTGCTCCCGTCCGTTTATGTACATGGGCCGGACGGGAAGTGGCTAAGGTAACCTCTATGATGAGGGTATGTTGCCTGGAATGGTCCATGAGGTCCGTATGCTTGTCTCCATTTTCCTGCATGTTCAGATATGTGTCTGGTATGAAATATTTGGGCCTATGCCATGTTTTGTTCTTGTTTCTTGTGTGGGGTTACTTCTTAAAATTCACCCCCCCCCCCCCATGAGGAGGGTATGTGGCCTTTCATGCTTCAGGAAGGAGGGGAAATTCATGTTCATCCCCCCTTTCCTGGCTGCATGCTTGGATAGGGTTCTTGTATAGAATATGGGGGACCCCATGCCATTTCTTTTTTTCTTTGCATGGAGTCCTCCTTGACATCCGTACCGGTAACAGTGAACTTCATTGTTATAAGTAGAGATGAGCGAATCGAACTTGGCGAAGTGGAATTCGTTTCGAATATTTGGAATCCGAATCCGAAAATTAGCAGACTTCGGATGCGCGAATCGAAATTTTTCCAAAAATGGCGGCGACATGTGCGGCGACGGAGCGGGGATCTCTGGGAAGGCGTGCAGACAAGGCGCGCTGACCCATAATGCATTCATTCATGACATGTGATCGCATTAGCCAATCAGCAGCCAGCCAGGCAGCACTGTGTAATGGTCGAGCTATAAATTGCGGCCATTTTAGAATTCTCCATTAGCCTCCAGTCACTCAAGAGAGGCAGACCTGGCTGTATTGAGGGAGAGAGTTAGGGCCACAGAATCGTTACTTAGGGACACAGAACCATTACTTAGGGACACACAATCGTTGCTTAGGGACACAGAACCGTTACTTAGGGACACAGAACCGTTACTTAGGGACACACAGTCGTTACTTAGGGACACAGAACCATTACTTAGGGCCACAGAACCGTTACTTAGGGCCACAGAACCGTTACTTAGGGACACAGAACCGTTACTTACGGACACAGAACCGTTACTTAGGGACACAGAACCGTTACTTAGGGACACAGAACCGTTACTTAGGGACACAGAATTGTTACTCAGGGACAGACACAGAATTGTTACTCAGGGACAGACACAGAATTGTTACTCAGGGACAGACACAGAATTGTTACTGAGGGACACAGAATTGTTACTGAGGGACACAGAATTGTTACTGAGGGACACAGAATTGTTACTCAGGGACAGACACAGAAATGTGTTACTCAGGGACAGACACAGAATTGTTACTCAGGGACAGACACAGAATTGTTACTGAGGGACACAGAATTGTTACTGAGGGACACAGAATTGTTACTGAGGGACACAGAATTGTTAATGAGGGACACAGAATTGTTACTGAGGGACAGACACAGAATTGTTACTCAGGGACAGACACAGAATTGTTACTCAGGGACAGACACAGAATTGTTACTCAGGGACAGACACATAATTGTTACTGAGGGACACATAATTGTTACTCAGGGACACAGAATTGTTACTGAGGGACACAGAATTGTTACTGAGGGACACAGAATTGTTACTCAGGAAAAGACACAGAATTGTTACTCAGGGACAGACACAGAATTGTTACTGAGGGACACAGAATTGTTACTGAGGGACACAGAATTGTTACTGAGGGACACAGAATTGTTACTGAGAGACACAGAATTGTTACTCAGGGACACAGAATTGTTACTGAGGGACACAGAATTGTTACTCAGGGACAGACACAGAATTGTTATTGAGGGACAGACACAGAATTGTTACTGAGGGACACAGAATTGTTACTGAGGGACACAGAATTGTTACTGAGGGACACAGAATTGTTACTCAGGGACAGACACAGAATTGTTACTCAGGGACAGACACAGAATTGTTACTCAGGGACAGACACAGAATTGTTACTCAGGGACAGACACAGAATTGTTACTGAGGGACACAGAATTGTTACTGAGGGACACAGAATTGTTACCGAGGGACACAGAATTGTTACTCAGGGACACAGAATTGTTACTCAGGGACACAGAATTTTTACTCAGGGACAGACACTTAATTGTTACTCAGGGACAGACACAGAAGTGTTACTGAGGGACACAGAATTGTTACTGAGGGACACAGAATTGTTACTGAGGGACACAGAATTGTTACTCAGGGACAGACACAGAATTGTTACTCAGGGACAGACACAGAATTGTTACTGAGGGACACAGAATTGTTACTCAGGGACACAGAATTGTTACTCAGGGACACACACAGAATTGTTACTGAGGGACACAGAATTGTTACTGAGGGACACAGAATTGTTACTGAGGGACAGACACAGAATTGTTACTGAGGGACACAGAATTGTTACTAAGGGACACAGAATTGTTACTCAGGGACAGACACAGAATTGTTACTGAGGGACACAGAATTGTTACTGAGGGACACAGAATTGTTACTCAGGGACACAGAATTGTTACTGAGGGACACAGAATTGTTACTCAGGGACACAGAATTGTTACTCAGGGACAGACACAGAATTGTTTCTGAGGGACACAGAATTGTTACTGAGGGACACAGAATTGTTACTGAGGGACACAGAATTGTTACTGGGGACACAGAATTGTTACTCAGGGACACAGAATTGTTACTGAGGGACACAGAATTGTTACTGAGGGACACAGAATTGTTACTGAGGGGACAGACACAGAATTGTTACTGAGGGACACAGAATTGTTACTGAGGGACAGACACAGAATTGTTACTGAGGGACACAGAATTGTTACTGAGGGACACAGAATTGTTACTGAGGGACACAGAATTGTTACTCAGGGACAGACACAGAATTGTTACTGAGGGACACAGAATTGTTACCGAGGGACACAGAATTGTTACTGAGGGACACAGAATTGTTACTCAGGGACAGACACAGAATTGTTACTGAGGGACACAGAATTGTTACTGAGGACACAGAATTGTTACTCAGGGACACAGAATTGTTACTCAGGGACACAGAATTGTTACTCAGGGACAGACACAGATTTGTTACTGAGGGACACAGAATTGTTGCTCAGGGACACAGAATTGTTACTCAGGGACACAGAATCGTTTAATTAAAGAGTATGTCAGACAACATGCAGAGGAGTGGCAGAGGAGGCAATGTTTTAGGAGCGAGCAGACGTGGCAGCAGAGGAAGGGGTCGAGGCAGCACTATTCGCAGCCAGAGGCCCAGTGCTCCCGGTGTCATCCAGGGACACAGAATTGTTACTGAGGGACACAGAATTGTTACTGAGGGACACAGAATTGTTACTCAGGGACAGACACAGAATTGTTACTCAGGGACAGACACAGAATTGTTTACTGAGGGACACAGAATTGTTACTCAGGGACACAGAATTGTTACTCAGGGACAGACACAGAATTGTTACTGAGGGACACAGAATTGTTACTGAGGGACACAGAATTGTTACTGAGGGACAGACACAGAATTGTTACTGAGGGACACAGAATTGTTACTAAGGGACACAGAATTGTTACTCAGGGACAGACACAGAATTGTTACTGAGGGACACAGAATTGTTTACTGAGGGACACAGAATTGTTACTGAGGGACACAGAATTGTTACTGAGGGACACAGAATTGTTACTCAGGGACACAGAATTGTTACTCAGGGACAGACACAGAATTGTTTCTGAGGGACACAGAATTGTTACTGAGGGACACAGAATTGTTACTGAGGGACACAGAATTGTTACTGAGGGACACAGAATTGTTACTCAGGGACACAGAATTGTTACTGAGGGACACAGAATTGTTACTGAGGGACACAGAAATTGTTACTGAGGGACAGACACAGAATTGTTACTGAGGGACACAGAATTGTTACTGAGGGACAGACACAGAATTGTTACTGAGGGACACAGAATTGTTACTGAGGGACACAGAATTGTTACTCAGGGACACAGAATTGTTACTCAGGGACAGACACAGAATTGTTACTGAGGGACACAGAATTGTTACCGAGGGACACAGAATTGTTACTGAGGGACACAGAATTGTTTACTCAGGGACAGACACAGAATTGTTACTGAGGGACACAGAATTGTTACTGAGGGACACAGAATTGTTACTCAGGGACACAGAATTGTTACTCAGGGACACAGAATTGTTACTCAGGGACAGACACAGATTTGTTACTGAGGGACACAGAATTGTTGCTCAGGGACACAGAATTGTTACTCAGGGAC